CGATGATGATCGGTTCGTCAAATGTTTGTGATAGTAGGTCTTTAACCGAAATGATACATTTGCTGCAATGTTGTTGCCTTGTTGGTTGGATTGAGCTGAAGTCACGTCAGATGGTGGTGAAAGCACCGCCAAACCGACATGAATGACGACCCATAAGACTCGCATTCTTCTTTCGTATGCACAATGCGTCGACAAGTACATGGTTCAAACAGTGCGCATAGCAGTGAACAAACAGTATATTGCTCTTGATCAATCCAATCTTGATCAGTGGTGTTGAGTACTTTGCACTGATGAAGTCTGCAAGTAGTAGACGAAATACACGTATCTGTCAAAAGCTAAGCAATTATAACGGAATTAAAAGGAAATAAACCAACTCAAAGCGCTTCATAAAAGTATATTGCTGTTTTCGTCCTTGCACTTGGCTTGTACTCCAGCACTGTCAAAATATACTGCCATCACCTGCTCCCGATAAATCTGCATCACTGTCAGGACCTCAGCTTTAGTATTGAAGATGGTCGTCGCGTCTGTTTTCAACACCCGTCTCACACCCACGAATGTTTCCGTCGGCCGATCATTATCAATATACCTGATGACAATCGCAAACTCACTGGAAATCCTATGTATGAGTGCTCATTGCAAGGTTATTACATGATGTAAGCCATAGTCTGTACGGAGTATTATATGCTGTTGTAGTTACACTTTACTATTACCATTGCGAGTACGTTGAACTTGGTCATCAGCAAAAATAGTAGTTCTATTTTTTTTTCAAATTTCGATCTAAATGCCAAGGCTAATAGGTTCATTAAAAATGTCTAAAAAATATGTAACGATTGGAACGATTGTTAACGGAATGACGAATTGTGCGAAGGATTGAGCATGTCAACCCTGTCCCAAAGTACCGCCAGTCGGGATGACAGGAAATGATGCCGAACATTCAACATGTTTTAAAGATGATATAAAGGACAATCCCGAATTTATTGCACATAAACAGCTGTAGCTTTCTAACAATGGTATCACAAATGACAAAAAAAAATCAGAGAAGATTCTTAGACTAATTTTTAGTAAGGCAAACTAATACCCACTTTTCATTTAGGGAATCCACAAGCTGTCTTTAATCTTTGTACAGTTGCGAAAAAGTCCATCCTCAGAATTCCTTGAGGTTCTTTACAAAATTTTTAGAACAGAACTCAAATTCCTTTAGAGTTTCAGAATTTTTCCCGGAATGAACTAGAAATCATCCTCGGAATTCGCTTAAAATTTTGCTTAAAATCCCTTTGGAATTTCACTCAAAATTTGATATTCTCGGTATTCTTTTCGAAATTATCTTGGAATTATTTGCAAAATGCACTAGAAATTATCCGTAGAATTTTCTTTGATTTCTTCCCATAAATATTTTGGAACTGTCCTAAGAATTCAATTCCCTTGAGGTTCTTCTCTGTATATTTTAGAATTTATTTTTTTCAGAACACCTTGGAACTGAAATTCCTCTAAACTTTCATAAGAATTACCTCTGTTTTCTCCAGAAATTCTTCCCAGAATGAGCTTAAAATTATCCTCGGAATTCCCTTGAAATTTTCCTCAACATCCTTTGGAATTTCATTAAAAATTCGATTCTCTCGGTATTCTTTTCGAAATTATCTTGGAACTATATGCAGGATTCACTAGAGATTATTCGCAGAATTTTCAAGAAATCATCCCCAGAAATCTTTTCTTTTGAAACTGCCCTCCGAATTCAATACCCTTGAGGTTCTTCTCGGAATACAAGTTTAAGTTGTCCGCCCATTCACCAAATCGTTGTAGTTTTTCTACCATAAATGATCAACAAAGCTTGCCCCTCCATTCACCAGAAGTGTGAAATTTTTACATCAGGCCTCTCCATGCAGCAGATTGTTGCAAATATTACACCAGAAATTTTCAATACAAACTTGCCACCAGAAAATTTCAATTGATCAGAACGATGCAAATTTACCACCGTTAATGTTCAATAAAAATTGCTTCTCCAATCTTCTAATTGGTGTAGATTTCCTTTTTCCATTTCCAACCAGACATTTCCAATATAGCTGAGGCTCTTCTCGGAAGTCAATTTAAGTTGTCCGTTAATTCACTGAAACGTCGTAGTTTTTCTACCAGAAATGTTCAACAAAGCTTGCCCTTCCATTCACCAGAACTGTGCAATTTTTACATAAGGAATTTTCAATTCAGCTTGCCCCTCCATGCAGAAGAATGTTGCAAATCTTACACCAGAAATTTTCAATACAAACTTACCGCCAGAAAATTTTACACCAGAAAATTTCAATTGACCAGAACGATGCAAATTTTCCACCGTTAATGTTCAATAAAAATTGTTTCTCCAATCTTCTGATTGGAGCAGACTTCCTTTTTCCATTTTCCACCAAACATTTTCAATATAGCTGGCTTCTCCTATCATCAGGTTGCAGGTTTTCCACCAAATAAAGTTTGCCCCTATTTTCGGACTTTTTTAATCATACATTTTCAGTAAAGCAGCTTCCCTCCAATTATCAGAATGGTGCATATGTTACACCAGTAATTATTATTAAAATTTGTTTCTCTATTCAGCAGAAGAATGCAAATTTAAAAACAAAACAAAATCCGAAAAGCTTGCGCATCCGTTCACCAGAACGGTGCAGATTTTCCACCAGAAATTTATAATTTAGCTTAATTTTAAATATAGCTTGTGCCTTCATTTACCAGGCTAGTGCAAATTTTCCACCAGAAAATTTCTGTTCATTTCATTAATCAGAGCGATGTAAATTTTGCACCAGAAATTTTCAATAGAGCATACTCCTCCATTCACCAGAACGGAATGAAGTTTGTTTCACCATGCACTTTCAGGCTTTGCCTCTTCATGCACCAGAATGGTGTAAATTTTCCACCATACATTTTCAATTAAGCTTGCATTCATCAGAATGATGCAAATTATGCACCAGAAAAATTAATAAATCTTGCTTCTACATTCACCACAGTGTTGCGAACTTTCCACCAGAAGTTTTCAGATAAATGTGCACCTCCAATTTTTTTACGCGATTCAATTTTAGAACCAGAGTTATTCATTTTGATTAGTCCCTCCATGCACCACCTTGATGATATTTTTACACCAGAAATATTCAATTAAAATCTTTTGCTTCGAATTAACTCCTTGAAAAAAAAAATTACACCAGGAATGTGGTGCAATTTTTTGACGAAAAAATTTCATTGAAGTTTAACCCTTCATGCACCTTTGTGGTGCAATTTTCAGGCAATATATTTATTTATAAAAGGTGGGGCAATTGCCCCACCTTGCCCCACCCTGTGCACGTCAATGTTTTAATTAATAATTACACGCTGTGTGAGCGAAGGCAAGCGGTGTGCGTCGCCTGCTCGTGAGTGACTGAATGTTTTGTTGGCTCTTTCATTGCCTCGTCCTTTACCGTTTCGAATCGAGATGGGAAATGACAGGTGAGCAGGAACTCACGGTCTCTTAGTGTTGGTGAGTTCTTTGCCGTTAATATTCACGAAAAGTTCACTATTTTGCCATACAGAAATTCAAAACAAAAATTTTTATCTGCGGATTTTTTGCAGTTTTTGACCTGTTTCATGCGACCGGAAGGTGTATGCTGGTCACAAATGCCGGGCCAAACTGATTTCCAACGCAATTAATCAATCTTTGATGTGAATTTCGCTAATAAACACGAGGAGCAAACTTGCCATAACAAAATGGGCATGGTTCATTTTAGTAAACAAACTAACACTTCTTCCGACTGTGTCACCTCTCTTACTCGCATAGGGATTGAATAGTGCAGTGCTTTCATACTCAGCCTAGGCAGCCAATAATTTTACGCTCTGCACCTATCCTCTTCAGACCTTTCTCTAGTTAATAAATTATCACACCATAACTTTATGTAAGATAGCGTTTTCAACCAACGCTGAACAATTTATCGTTTTGATTGAGCATTTCCTTTGTTTTAAGGAGAATATTTTAAATTTTACTCATTCATGCTGCCTCCACATTTTGTATTGAGAATTCTATACTAAATATTGGCACATTTGCATGTTTTTGTGATACTGCTGTTTTAGGGTGCACTTAATTGTTTCTATTGGCAAAACATGGACTGCCATTTAAGTAGTGCACGAGTTGCTTTCAGTTCGAAATTGTGAACCACATTTCTTAACTCTTTGCCAATGATTAAATTTAAGAATCGCGAAATCTCCCCACTCCTTCCCTTTCCTTGTTGTAAGATTTTAACAGTCATAATACCGATCCTTCAAAATGTGTGTCAATGCTGTGAACAAGTTTGCCTCTCGGAAACAGGACAGTCCTGCTGTGACAAAGCATCTGCACGTATTTTGCAGGTTCGGTATTATGACGGCTAATTGATACAGGTAATATTTACAGTTTCACGTATCGATAAATGCTTATGCTTTTGACACCTTCCAGCCTCAGACAAAAATAAAACTAGCCAAGCTTTTTGCTTTTGGGACCCAACGCTTCTAATGAGTGCCATATGATGATGCTTTTGCTCTTGGGAATGTTTGCGAGAAAAGAGTTCATTAAAAACGGCTTCGTTCAATCTTTTACAGGATCGCGATAAAGCATTTTTCCAGTCAGTAACATTTTGGTAAATACAGTTTCTCTTAAATCATGTTTGTGGAATGTGAGCCATTTCCAAATAACAACCATTTGCTTGATTCGTAACCCAACTCATATTTGGTGATATAACTCAAACGGTTTCATGGAATGATTTGATATTAACTGTTAAACTGATGTTGATTATATTGGATTGTTGATTGATGTTATGATTGCATTTTAACGGATTATCCCCCGCTCGTTCCAGACGACGAAGACTCAATTCAGTACCTACCCGGACAGCACCATCAGCAGCAACAGCAGCAGCACAACAACCACGACCTCCGGAGTCGGGTCCGAAGTTGCTTCACATCAACAACTGCTGAGTAATGCCTCCTCCAGCAACAGCAACAGCATCAACAACAATAATAATAACAACAACAACAACGTCGGTTCCGATTCACCCACCTCGACGCGCAGCTCAACGACGTCCACATCCTAGCAGCGGTTGATCTCGGCCGGCTGCTCCATGTCGTCGACCGCATCGTCCTCGCCGATCCCGAGCAGCGTGATGTCGAGCAAGAATAACTACTTTATTGCATCCTTCTCGCCGGTGAAGGATGTTTATAAATCGGTTTCCACTAGTTCTAACTATTCCTCCTCGTCGTCGCTAGTTTCCACGGCGAGTTCGGCCCGACCCCAGTCCCAGCAGTCTCAGCAATCGCACCAGCAGCAGCAGCAGCAGCAGCAACAGCAACAGGGCCCCGGCAAAGGAGAGGGAGATGCCGGAGTTCCGGTACAGCGGTCAGCCTCGTTCAACGCCACCTGCACGGTTCCGCTGAGCATAAGCAAAACAACAAAGGTCAAGAATTCGGCTTCCTTCAGTAACTGTTCGCTGTTGGCTAAAGTGGCAAAAAAGTCCGGTCTCAGCGGATCATTGACTGCTAATTCACTGCTGAAGTTTTCCCCGTCGAGTTCGGCCAGCAGTTTGCTACAGTTGAAACAGCAACAGCAAGCGAATGGGATCACAATTTCGAGCAACATCACCGAAGCACTAGCCATGGCTGGACAGAATCCCAATCCCGGCCTGTCGACGTCATCGTCCGGACAGCTGAAGAACTCTCCATCGGCTTCTTCATCTACATCGTTGGCATCGTCGACGACATCGACGGTGACGGCAGCAGCCGCCGCCACTAGCACCGTGTCCTCCCCGAGCTCCTCTGCCTCTGCCGGTGCTGCCCTGTCGCTGTCCCAGTTCACTAAAAATAACATTGTTGATTATTATGTCTAATAATAAGCAAACCTGTAGCCATTAAGACATAGGGACAAATATACACATATTGGTTCATTTTATAGGTAGATCACGTCGCCAGTTGAGCGATTTTTTTTAATGTTTTTTTAAACTACGACCTTGTTCGATGGTACCTTCACACAACCATCGAGTATTTCCAAACTTTCCTAAAACTATAAAACTGCGTACCATTGAGACATGAAAGCACTCACACACACACACACACACACACACCGAACGACAACCAATGGGAACAATCTGTCCCACTTGAAACGACCAGATATATAAGCTAACTAAGTGGACTAATACAAACTATTCTAATGTGTACCTACTAGAACAGGAACAGAGTAAATCGCACCCATATTTAGGGGTCTATCGTTATCATATATCGTATGGGAGGGAGAAAACACATTTTCTACTAACCGACCCCCACACCGAAACCAATCATTCTGCCTAGGACCAGAGCAAGCTGACAACCGTTACCTTAGTATTGTGCATAAAAGTCTAACCTTTTCATCCTTAAAATTCTCCCGTTGAATTGTTTCAAGCAGAAAATTTGATACCACGTTTGTAGGAAACCGTTGAAATTAAATATTGCAGTTAGTTGGTAAAAATATACAACTGATCGAGTTCTTACGCATACTTGAAGCCAAAGACAATAAAATCACACACACACACAAACACACGCGTAGAAATGATAAGCCGTTCTCTTCAGTTCCCCCCACTGACCTTCTCCGTGCTTCATTTACCAAGAGAATCTTCCCGCTACCAGAACCACGATCAAGTTCAGTTCACCCTGATACATTGCAGCCAACACTTAAGTGACCAACTATCTATCTTGAATAAGATCGTTGACTAACCATAAGTCCAAAATTACTCGCTGATTGAGGCACAGCGCTAGGCGTTCATCGATGATTGTTAGCAAACTGGATTTTGCTTGTTTGAATCCAACTCAGAACATAAAAACTCCCAACACAAGGACCCAGTTGAAACTAAACAAATAATAACATTAATTAACTACATCAGAATTAAAACGTTTGAGGACTTTACAACCGAAATTAACCTACAATAGTTGCAGCGGATTATGACCCGTTTGAATAAAATGTTTACACTCGACGAAAGAAGCAGAGCAATTCTATCGACATTCATACATACATACATGCATACATACAAGAACGAGAGGCGCGAAGTTTGTTAGAAGTTGATCAAGTTGAAATCAATAAGATAATTAACATTAGACGAAAGAATGAAGAAAAACTATTGTAATTCAGTGATTGAGGAAAATGAATAATAAAAAGAAAATAAATTAAATTGCATGGGAAGTTGAATACTTGATGACAGCATTTTCATTGTTTGAATTTTTTTTTTTACATGTGCGATACGACATTGGGAATGCTAATGGTGTTTTGCTAAACTACGGTTAAATAGAAACTCTTGAACTGCTATTCAATCAAAAGGCATCAAGGCTCTTTGTTATTTTATTTTCCAGTTCGATGCATTTCCACCTCGCCTTAAATATTAAATTTTATGATATTTACTTCATAACAACGCTGATTTAAGGTGATACGATACGTCACGCTTTTTTTGCTTTTTTTTCTCTCCTTTCTATGTGTCAGTGAATTGATTATCATTGATGCTGTAGTGGTGTGAGTGTACATCATGCACTACCGCAACTACCGTAAACATAGCTGCTAGAGTTCGTTATTATTAAGTCGAATGTGTAACAGAGACTATCACTACATTTCCATTCAATTTGCCAATATTATCGACCTACCACCTCCCAGGACACCCCTTCCTATACAGAACATAATAATGCGCCTAGCCACCAAGACCAACATGTCAAGTTATCATAGTAGTTAATTGATTCAACATCACACTTTGTACAATTTGGTTACATACGACCTGTCCAAAAGTGATTCCAGATCTCAAACCTCCAGGTGCACGGTAAGAAAAAAGATCCCAAAGTGACTCAATTTCACAAATCTCGGCACTATATTGCAGGAAGCCAAAACTAGGTAATGTGGGTCGAAGAGTTTTCATTTGATTGTGTTCAATTAGTATGGAATTGACAATTCGCTTCTACCCAAAAAATAATTAGTTGTACCCAAAAGTATGTGAATATGTTTATACTCAATGTGATTATACTCAAAGTCAAAAGTAGGCAAAAATGAACTAGCCGCTGGATATATTTTCTTATAGTGTATGTTTTTGTTTTTGAATCATCCTTTTGCCGCCTTTTGCATATCAGCTGATGGCTTAGAGCAGTGCAACCAGATAGACACATATGTTTTCTATAGAAGATTTCTAGGATCATTTACTATCATTTTTTGTCTTGAAAAACAAAATAAGAAATTGTTTTAAATATTTATTAGTGATGGTTTCTAAATTGAACACAGTTTAAGCACCTTAAAAAGCAATAAAAGCATTGTTTTTACACACTTTGTTTCAATTAAATCGACAACACTGGATACGATGATAGATGATTCGTACACACACCTTCGTAATGCGGTGTGTAGAAAAAAGGTAAACAAAACAGTTTCAACTTGCAAAATTATTCGCGGCTCGCGTTTTTAACGATGCAAATGATATTATTTAAGTAAATATCGTCTTTAAAAGTGCATTAACTTAAAAGTTCTTGTAGAAGCACGTGTCGTAATTGTTTTTATTGTGGTTCTGAGAAGTGAAAGCTAGTGAAAACAGTTATTGAAATTTTATGCCCTGAGTAGAACAAAATCGGCAAATATTACCAATGCGTGAATGAATTGACAATATTTTAGTGGAAAAGTATTAAAATATGTATCCAGATCTTATTCATACAATTCAGGCCCATTTTTTAAGGTGTATAATTAGTAATTTACTGTTTTGTAGGAATATGTCTTTCGTACGCATACCAAAACACGTTTATTTAATGATTGTAGGGACAGCCATTGTTGCATGACTTGCCGTATCACCTTAAAGCAATCAATGATCATTTTGTAATGCAATTACATATTCACCTCTATTCCCGTTTTTGAACGAATCGTTCGTTCGTTCGAACGACAAATGATTTATTTTTTTAATTTCTGTATCATTTCGACAGTGAGCATACATAAGGGCGAATACGCGATGATCGATTCTCTTCATCGATTTTCTCTTTGCATTGCTACAGCTAAGCGAAACAATTTTCTAGAATTTGTTCAATGCAGAGTAGTAACAGGTTGTAAAGGGTGTCCACGATGAAATTGCCACACACAAAATTGATTCGCAAAATTCGAGTTTTCATCCGATTGCCATCAAATTTTCAGGGATTGAGAAATAACTATTAAACTTCATTTTACCATTTTACTCGTATTTTATTTACAGTCCATACGCAAATGCCCGCACCTTGGCCTTAACCCCGGCCATAAGATTCTGCACAACCTGTGGATCAACCGTTTTTGCATGTAAACCCATACTTTCTTCAGTTCCTCGACTGTCTTCACTACCTTAGGTCGTTTAAGAAGGTGCTGCTTCATAATAGCCCAGTACTTCTCGATGGGGCGGAGCTCCGGAGTGTTGGGAGGGTTGAACATTTTCGGCACGAAATTGACCTTATTGTCCGCATACCACTTCAGCACGTCCTTGGAGTAGTGGCATGAGGCCAAAGATTGTTGGGACGTTGTGGGCCTTCAGGAGAGGAAGCAGCCGCTTCTGGAGGCACTCTTTTATGTACACCTGTCCGTTCATCGTGTCCTGGGTCACGAAAGGTGCACTCCGCTTCCCGCACGTGCAGATGCTTGCCAAACCAGGAATTTCTTCGCAAATTTGGACATCTTCTGAGTGCGGACATGCTCCGGAACGCTGAACTTATCCTTGGCCGTGAAAAACAGGTTGCCGGGGATCTGTTTGAAGTCGGCCTTCACATATGTTTCGTCGTCCATGATGCAGCATTCAACTTTCGTCAGTATGTTGAGGTACAACTTCCTGCCATGGGTTTTGGCGGACTTGTTCTGCTTCTCGTCGCGATTAGGGGCCTTTTGTACCTTGAACGTTCGAAGCCCAGCCTTAGTTTTGGCCTTCTGGACAAAACTTCGGCTTAGGTGCAGCTTCTTAGCCACATCCCTAACGGAGGCGTTCGGATTTCGGTTGAAGGCCCCAACTACGCGGTTGCGATTTTTGGTGTTGTACGGAATACTTTTTCCTTCACTTCTGGGCTTCCGATCGGTGGTCAACCGTTCCTCGAACCGCTTAATCACTCGCGACACCGTGGAATTCGCGATTCCCAACGTTTAAGCGATGGAACGATGCGAGAGATCCTTGTTCTCGTGATGAATGCGCAAGATTTTATCACGCACGAGCTGTTCTTTCGACTCTATTTCCGCGAGTTTTGATCACAGGACTTTAAAACTTGCAGGATGTAAATAATGCACTATGAACTAAATCCACCCAAATTTTCATTAAATTCTACCCAACGGTTAAAAAGTTAGAGCAATTTCATAGTGTGGCAATTTCATCGTGTACACCCTTTATTGGCTATCAAAAGTAACAGCAAACGCACCGATAAACGTTAAATCTAGCGAGTTATTAACGAAAGAGAACATCGACGAAGAGAATCGATCATCGCGTATAGGCCCTTTTGCATGCTCACTGTCGATTTAAATTTTAAGAAAATAAAAATAGTCATACGCCCGTTTTTTTGCGAGGTTATGCATTCGCCTCTAAAAATTCGCCCTAATTTTTTTTGACAATTCTATTTCGCCTAAATTATTTCGCCTGTTTGTTTTGTTGATATTATACTTCGTCCAAATGTTTACATCTATTTTCCTTAGCATTTGCTGTTATCGCCCTTTTGTACCGTGTGATTTTTTTCGTTTGTTATCAATATTTTTTTATTTAATGTGTAGACCAGTCGATATCCGTCGACTGTTTAAAGCACTGTTTCTTGGCACCGTGCAATTTCCACTATAAATGAATTTTCTGGCCCACAAGCATGTCACCTTCATGCTATCGAGAGAGCACGATCAACTGTTGACTTCGGGCGGTTATTGCATCCGATACGGATTTCTTCGATTTCCTAATCTACAACGGCAATTGGTGTCTACGTATGTACGTGCAAGAGCAGTCTGTTCCACTAAAAGTCGATCATGAAGCGAGTTGGTTACATTTGGTTACAAAGTGGACAATGGAGAAATATGTAATCAAAAAGCTTGCAGCTCTTTCAAACGGTGAGTATAGGCTTAAGCAGGAAGAATATGTTGAAATCAATGCCTTTTCTTACAGAATTGTGGGGCTCCCAATTTGAACCTGAAAGACGATGCCACTCAAGTTTCACGTTTCTTACTACTTGGACGACATGCATCGGAAGCTTGATTTCGGGCAAGAACACGACGATCTACTGGTGACACTCAATCTGCGTATGGTCGAAGTTTTCCGTTATGCGAAAAATCAGACAGACAGTTTCAAGTGTAAAATCCTGACCAAACAAAACCACTATAGAACATTTACAAAGTTCAGCAGGATTCCGTGCTGCAAAATCAAAAGTTGCAAGTCATCATCCGTTGCCTGCGGAAAACAATTTAATCTAGCCTGGAAACCTCACAACAGAATCTCTAATACATACCACCAAAAATTCGAGAACGTAAGTGGAGGTGGGTAGACACACTTTGAAGGGGCAACAAGGAAATCTCACTGAATGAACCGTGATTTCGACTGAGACCGATAAATTTTCGCGACGGTCCTGTGAGAACACCCTACAATAGGAATAGTAATTAATCGTATGTCGATGGTTTGTCAATTTAATTTAACCTTATATTTGTTTGATGCATCAAACATTTGTTTGATGCATCAAACGACTTGTTCCGCGCAAATGGGCTGATGAAATTTCTCGAAGGTCGCTCGAATGAAACTACCCTTTGTCTTTCATCTTCGATTTCAATCATTCGTCTTCCGGTTTTCGTTTCGGCTTTTGTAAACGATTCGAGATCGACAAGGGCACATGGTGATCTAGTGCAAACACCGAGGCGAACACCCTTCGATGTTAATTGTAATCAATCAAATGTACAATCATTTTTTTGTCAAACTTTACCTGAGGTGTGTCATGTGGGGTGCACGAACGGATCCGAGGAGGTGAATCGATAGAACTTCGTGATCTTGCTTGTGACGGTGCAGCTGTTTTGCCTACAGAAGGACCATCCAGGTATTTGAGTTTCAAACTTTTTGGTGTAGAAGTATGGACGTTGCTAAAAAATGCATCATCTGGAACCGTTGCAATGG